CCATTTGCAAAAGCATATTTTTTTTTGTAAAAAAAATGCTCTCCATAAAAGAGTCTCGAACCATAGACCTGATTCGTAACCGGGTGCACTAGCCAGACGCTAGAAACATCTTTTTGGTTTAGTTTTATCGGAAGTTGTATTTCTACAATTTCATCGTTTATTCAACATATAATTATTACATATAAGCAGAATAATATGAAGATGCACACCAGTTAAGAACTTTCGCGCCACCAGGCGATACCAAAAGCATGGCGCTAAATCGTAGCGGCGAGTCCAGGAGTAGGATTTCGTGACCATCGCCTCTGTCGATGTTACAGATTTCGCGTAGCCGCGCGGGTCATGATCATCGTTCCAGCCGATATTGCAGTCAACGAAAATGAATGGATTGCTCGGTGGTGGGGAAAAAGTTGCCGCCCCTCACAAACCGTTCTTGACAAACAGGCGGAACAGCAAGATCTTCGGTCCAACCAAACCCTAAACATTTGTATGGACGTAATGCGCAAACAAATGTGTATATAATAATATGAGTTCTGCACTCAAATATAAAGTTTCTTCATTAAAGATGATTACAACAATTATTTTACATTATATTTCACACACACATGACGCGTGTAAATATCTGAAAGTATGAGAAATTGAGAAAAGGACAATTGGAAAGACTGGAAAACTTTATATTTGAGTGCAGAACTCATATTATTATATACACATTTGTTTGCGCATTACGTCCATACAAACGTTTAGGGTTCGGTTGGACGGAAGACCAAGCTGTTCCGCCTGTTTGTCAAGAACGGTTTGTGAGGGGCGGCAACTTTTTCCCCACCACCGAGCAATCCATTCATTTTCGCTGACTGCAATATCGGCTGGAACGATGATCATGACCCGCGCGGCTACGCGAAATCTGTAACATCGACAGAGGCGATGATCACGAAATCCTACTCCCGGACTCGCCGCTACGATTTAGCGCCATGCTTTTGGTATTGCCTAAAACCGGAGCGTTGTACATCTCCCCACTCATCTCTGCCAAAAACAGGCTCATTGGCAATCTCCCTACTCATCTCTGGTTGCTATGTCCAAGACGTCATAAAAATCGTAGACTTAGTAAACGCTCGGTTTTAAAAACGATTTTCTCCTTCTTGATTGAAGGATCCAATGGAATTAGGTAAATATACAATTGAATATCGTGCCGCTTATATGTTCCGTGTTACGTGTTCCGTTGCATTGTAGAATAGCCTTTAGTAGTTTGTTCTGCATTAACATATCTTTAAAAAAATCAAAGTAGTAACAAAAGAATCTTGCTTTCCAATTAAACATCTTGTATTTCAAGTTTTACGTCGTCATATGAAAGTTTCGCTATTCGTTGGCACTAGCGGAATATTATCAGATTGACCAATAGTATAGCTTTGTAAGGTGCTTAATTGGTTACTCTCTCACCATTTATTCTTTCCTATTCCATATTCCTCCAAATGCCATGGATCAGCACGTGTACGAACTGATTGATCTTATGTAGTGAATAATATGCCTACTGAAGTAATTTTTGTAGGGAGCGGCCGTAGCCTAGTGATCGAGGTAGCAGATTCACGACCGACAAGTTCGGGGCTAGCGCCGAGCTCCCAAAATAAAATATGATACACTACTAATGTTCTTGTGAGCATTATATAATTTTCTATTCATGAGACGCACACTTTGGAGTAAGAGGCTCAAAAATTTTTCCAGGCTGTTGTGCTGGGAGTCTCCTGACCCCATTGACAAACGCCAGGCCAAGTAGTTCACGCGTGCAGCAATGCGCTAAGTCAGTACTAAAGGCGGCCTGGCAACCAATATGTGGAAATCTAAAAATCGCACAATAATCACTTTTCGGAAGTCCAGCTTATAGCTGCACATCCGAAAATCTACAGTCTACAATTAAAATCCGAACGGATAAGGTGGTCTCGTGGAGTAGACTCGGTACAGGAAATAGGAGGACCGAACGGTGCCTATATTTTCGAAGTCGACGTACGTCGACCTACTGTACAACGCTCTTGATTTTTTCAATAAACCTTCTCTGTTTTGTTGTATTCACGCGAGTTCTAACTCCTTAACCGGCAACGATCCCAAAAAATTACCTTAGCCCTAACCTCTCGAACGAACTCCTTCGTCACCGAGACGTTACGGCACAACAAGGCCAACAAAAAATTTAAATTTCTAAAAGTGGAAACTTTGGATATCCTAGGGATATCTATAGGATATCCATAATTGGATATAGGTATCTAGTGGATATTCACTTTAGATATCGTAGACATATCATGGATATCCTATGGATATAAAATGCTGTATAGGAAGCGGAACGTTACAATATGTATTACAATATCCGGTTTATTATATATTTTTCTGTATATAGAATTAACCTTAGAAACCAGTCCGTATTGTATTTATAATATAAATCTAAAACAGTTATGTACAGAGAGATTGCTTTCATTATTCTGTATATTATAGAAAAGTATTATAGCTCTTTTTGGAGGCCAAATTCAGGATATAAAATATAGTGAAATATCAAACGCGTCTTGTGATTTCAGAAGTTACATATTGAATTTTGTCATTCTCGAATTTGTTCATGGTAGTAATTGCACTCAGCCATCGTTCCTGAATAAATAACTAAAATAAATATAAAATAAATCCTGCATCATTTAAAACACTTCGAATAATTTTAAAAGGAATGTACTACCATTTTCTTTGTAGGAAAACTAAAGTATATCTATATTACTAATTGTAAGTGACATTTACACTGTCTTTTATTAGTCAAATCATTGCGGCTAGAGTGCACATATTTGTACGAACACAGTATAGCATACTCATGAAATCTCACTATATTTTAAACCCACAGTCTTCAAGACATTTAACCACGCCACAATGATAAACTTGTAACTTAGAATATACAACATAATTCAATTAACTCAGTCGCTATGTACATTAAAAATTGCAATAATTAATAACAGCAACTTTTCTTCGCCAATTCGGGGGTCATTGTTAGTCTAAATCCAGATTTTCGGGAGTCCACTTCTGGCGAATGAAGCGACAAGGGTGGATTCCCAAAAATCTGGATTTAGACTAACAATGCCCCCACCCCCCGCAATGATTGCCAAAGAAAAATTGGTGTTATTACTTAATGCAATTTCAGCGATTATTACGGTACATCGCGACTGAGCTAAATTCAAATGCACCAACTTCCATTTGACTTCCACGGTAGAATCAACTTCAGTTGATACGTTAAAGCTAAATAATCTCGTATAATTTATTTACAAAATCACAATTTTCTCTGACGATAGCGATGACCAAAAGAAGTAACAGCTTGCGCCGCGAAAGGCCAGAAGATTAAGAAGGCAAACATCCGTGGTGAACACTCCGGTAGCGGCCACCACTTCGGATAATTACTTCTTATTACCTGTTCCTAGCAAAAAAAATTAAAGTAAAGTTAATGGAGGTCACATTCCAAATATATTACAAGGAGAACTATCATCAAGTTTTTAGGCAAAATAAAAAATATAACATGGTGCTTACTTTTTGTGGCGATAATGCATTCAGAGCCTGACCTTCTAAGCTACGAACCCTGGTTGTTATCCTGTCCAAGTCTTTTTGTAAGTTTTGGACAGTAATAGCTATTTGGCACAAAAATTCAGCATTCTTCTTGTCATCTTTTTTCACTCTCGGACGACTTCGATCTTGCTTAATCTCAAGAAGTATTTGTGACTCTGAAACATGCCCATTCGTTTCCGCATAGCCATTTGTTAATGCAGCAGACGTTTCTTTGTTTATGATAGCTTGACCGTTGGAGTTATCATGGAGATTAACTGTTGACATTGTTTGATTCGACGACGATGTTTTTAACATTTCCTTTGGTATTCTTTCTGGAGCCTATAACATGATAAATTTTGTTGTTTCTCTTAATACTCCAAAAGAGGTCAAAGACCAGGTTAATATCAACACTTAGCCAACCGCGCGCACTAGAGCGAACTGTATGTTTTACCAATTCGGTTGACTAAGTGTTAATATTAATTTTCTCACTATATGAATGCAATTAATTTGAAAAAAAGCGCTTATCAAATATAAATAGTCATTGCTGAGAAATACAGCTACGTTAGCATCGTAAATAATATTATGATTATATCTGCCTCATTGATATGTAATTAAAAAAGCAGTACTTGTTACTCTCGTTTCTACTTCATAGTCGTATACACAAAAAGATCTTAACAGTTTGCATTGAATAATCAAAAATAAAAACACAATGTAATCAAACTAAGTAAGATGTTAATTAATACAGGTGTTTAGATATGGACGTGTATCATTAAGCCGTCAAATCTTACGGATTTGTGTTGGCCAAAAACATACTTTTGAGCATATGTAATCTTATAATTAGCAATGCTAAATAATTGCTAATAATAGTTACTCATCAATGTCTGAAACTTGATTTTTTCAAAAATCCAGTTGATTCAATTTTAAATAACAATTGAATATGGCATGCGTCTGTGCGCGTATGTGCATATACATCCAACATCGTCTTTTTTAGCGATAAGGAATATATAAGATACTCCTACATGCTTTATGCGGTCATATCTAAAAATTACTAATGTTTTTTTAGTCCCATAGAAATTATAATCAAGACGTTAATGATACTCACTTCTACAGTGTCTATAAACACTTCCTCCTCTCCATCTGTGTCAGGCGGTAAGGGACTCGCACTGTGGCTACTTGCTGGACTGGTTTCCAGGCTGCTAGTAATATGTCGTGAAGCGGAGCACACTCTATGTGGTGAAGTTTCCCTAGAACCTTGAAAAAAAATTGTCGGCAGAGTCGATCAATCAGATATTTCATTACATGGGAACATTCTTTTTCCACAAGTACATATCATCATTCAAAATCTGCTCAATAATCATATTATTATTTTTAAATACTTTCTAGATATAAGTAATGTATGAACCTATAGGAGAGCCAGAAAGTGGTGAACCAGGCTGTGAGCGCATCCTCTGAATAACTGGACCCACCAATAGTTCCAAGTGTTCTACAGGGACACTTTCATAGAAGGAATCCAGGCTACCCAGAAAATTAGCCACGTTATCTGTATAAGACATCGTTTCGACTATCTGAGAAACAAAAGAATTACCTTTAAAATCACTATTGACATATGCTAACTATTCCGGATAAAAGAATCATAACTTTTATAAGACTATAATAGAGAGGATGGCTCAATCATCGACCATGTACCAGTAATCGTCAATGTGTGCTTTGACTATAGCAAAATCTACAGTATTATAACACAACTGACAATTACTGGTACATGGCCGATGACTAGGTCATCCACCTTAGTACATTTGTAGAAAAACGTCATCTATATTTTCGAAGGTATTTATGCAGACATACATCAACGAATAGTGTTATGGTAGAAATTTGTTCTTATCAAATATGTACACACGCGTCGAGTGCATCGCTAATGGAGTATCCTAAAGTCGTATTTATTACTTATTTATTGGGAAAAAAGTGATACCTTCTTTAGTTCATCTACATAATTCTCCATTGCTTCATTACTGCTCATATTGCCAAGTCGTGCCCACGCATCCCACTTTGCTCTTCTTACAACCTCCCAAAAAGCTGGTCTAGGACTCTGGCATGGTCCTTCTGTGGCTTGTTTATAGTATGCATAGAAACGTAACATCAGGTCGTTACTGGGTTGATATGCTCCTGTAACATAAATGTACAACAAATTTTAAAGAGTATAACAGCAATTTTAGCACTGTAAGAATGGTCATTAGGTAATTACTTAAGGCTGAAATATAGAGATTGTGGCTGGTTTAATATGGGCTGATGCTTTACATTAATAAATTGTCAAATTAGAATACTCTGCTTAAAAGATTATGTAAACTTTTACTTGATACTTCGTTGCATTCTAGTGTTGAGAGCATTATGATAAATTGAGCATATTTTAATCAGTATTATTACCAAAACATAAGATCAGTTGCCCCAAAAACAGTTAAAACTTAATTAACCTTTACTCTGTAATACTGGTCTGATAGACTATAGTCCACGAGTTCAATGTGTTTTTTGATAGTTTGTAAAAAATGTAATCCTTAACAAACAACACATGGGTTTTCATAAAAATCTAGAAATATATGCTACAATAGAGAAATCAAATACAATTAATTGCAAACCTAGGCATATGTATATTTTGTAAGAAAAATTTGATAGAGAGCCATGTGTGGCTTGCTAGAGACTTCATTGGTTTTGATCTGTCAAAAAACCATATCAATATAATACACATCCATCAGATTATAAATGAAGTTAAAGTAAAAAATGCTGTTTGTTTCTTTAATTTACTCTGATAATTATATATTATTCAGACTTTCTATTAATATGTAAGGCATATGATAAAGCAGTTTTTTAGTTATAAAATCTCTGCTTTCACTGAAGATTCTGTATAAGTATATTGAAGACATTGATAAGTCTTTTAGAACATATTATTGTTCTTATTAAAGAACCATAAGTAATAACAAGTAATCTTAATCAAATTCTCTGTAAAATTAATCACATAACTTTCAGTGATATTTATTTTTATAATTATTCCATTGGGTACATAGAAACATTTAATTATTCTCAGTGTTAGCAACTAGCATCATGGATCTTGCATAGTAAACTTTGCCCTTTGGTCAGTCAGTAATCGCAGAATGAAACTTCCAGCAAGTTTATATTCACACAGTAAACTATGGCCAAACTAATAAAGGAATCTTAATGAAATTTACAGAACAAACTAAAATTGGAACTACTTTATCAATGATATAAATGCGATTCAGACATAATATAATAAAGTGTCATGACCTGAATAGGAAGTTGATAAAATAATGTATACAAATATTTGTTTAAAAACACTCTACTAAAAATAAGTAAGGAACCAGTCCGTGAAGTGCATTTCTACGTCGCGGGCAGTGAAAAGTACACTCTATTTTAGTTGAACCGAAGGTGAACAAGAAACGCTGTAACTTACCATTTTTCGGCAAATTCCTAATGACGTTTACAGCTGCATCAAACTTTTCCTTGGTTGTCATACTGAATAGTCGTTCGCGTATCAGAAAACTACTCCGGCTGAAGAAGGCCTTTTACAAAAAAAAAATGTATCTTTCCTTATTGTATTCTTACTCACTATCAGCAAAAAATTACGAAGGAACAAACAACAGGCACTGCAGCGATAAACAATATGCCAAGTTGGCCAAGAGCGAACACAATACGGACCGAACAATCGCTGCAGAACGATTGGTGACAGTCAACCTGCCAGTTCAGTTAGGGATGAGTAGGGAGACTGCCAATCAGTGGGCTGACACTGGGATACTCCCCTCCACTTCTTAGGGTGTGTTCTGTAACACACTGTAAGCACTGGCAGTACTGTAAAATGTGTTCCGAAATTCGTTGCAGCATACTAGTTTTAGTAGCGCGAAATTATTATTTGAATTTTTTGTGCCTCGTACGAGGCTAAGTTCCATGCTGCGGTTACTACAGCCCCAGAGGTGAGGCAGATTCATACTTATAAAGTGGCGGCATCGATGGTAGAAATAGCGTTAATCGACGCACAGACGAATATTGAATATAAAATTATCTTCTGCTATTATTTTTTAAAATATATAATAGTATGCCAAGCCATTTAATGACCGACACCTCGTAACTGTAATTTTTCTACCATGATTCATGTACTTACTATACCGTTCCGTTTTACTGCGCTACCAGTGCTTCATACTACGTCACATCTGTTTATTCACGGCAATCCAGGGTGCAGATAGGTGACATAATCGGTTTATTGGAACACCAAGTCTTCAAGATCAAAGTTTCTTTTTATTATTAATAATTGCGTATCACCGACAAAGAACAATTAACTGCCTCGTGTTCAAACTCACTCATTCCTTAAAACTATATGAAACTAAGTTCCCTAGATGCTTCTCGTCTGGGGAAAAACAAGCCGCCTGGTTTGTCCACCAGAGGTGCTGTGGACCTCAAGCATGGTTCTAAACACATCATTTCGGAACACTTTTACAGCATACTTTATCAGCGCCATGCTGTAAGTGCTTACAGTGTGTTACGGAACACAACCTTAATTGACTTCCGTAAAGTTAGCCGGGCAACTTCGACTTACCGAATTTCTGTACTTGCACATCGATTGTTAGTCATTTGTTATTGATTGTTAGACTAATTAAAACATTTGTTAGATGACGATTTCGTTTAAAATAGCGAAAAACCATCTACCGTCTCGCTGGCCGGGAGTTGGGGTAAGGCATGGAATATGCGATGTGAAGATAGCCGGAAATATAATTTTTCTTCACAGTTTTTGTTTCGAAATGGGTCCAATCGATGTGGAATCGTTTGTTAGTCCCGAATAAACTAATAAAAACATTTGTTAGGTTAGGTTAGATCAGCTAAGAATTCCAATGCTGTCACACCCCAAGGTATTAGTTTTTTTTTTTTTAAAACACATTAGCTTGCAATGTTGACGCCTTAATTATATTTTTGGCTATCTTCACATCGCATATTCCATGTCTTACCCCCACTCCTGGCCATCCAAACGGCAGACGGTTTTTCGCTATTTTAGGTGAAACGTGATATAACAAATGTTTTTATTAGTTTATTCGGGACTAACAAAAGATTCCACATCGAATGCACCCGTTTAGAAACGAAAACTGTGAAGAAAAATTATATTTCCGGCTATCTTCACATCGCATATTCCATGCCTTACCCCCACTCCCGGCCAGCGAGACGGTAGATGGTTTTTCGCTATTTTAAGCGAAATCGTTTTCTGACAAATTTTTTAATTAGTTTATTCGGGATTAACAAACGATTCCACATCGATTGCACCCATTTCGAAACAAAAACTGTGAAAAAATCAATATTTTTCGGCTAACTTAACACTAAAATTTATTTTCGTTATTGCAAAAAAACTATTATTTAACAAATGTTTTAATTAGTCTAACAATCAATAACAAATGACTAACAATCGATGTGCAAGTACAGAAATTCGATAAGTCAAAGTTGCCCGACTAACTTTACGGAGATGCATTACTTTTTGATAGGACCATGCCGAGCAAAATCGGTTTAGAATTATAAGTTTTATAACGTAAGCCGTACAGCGGAGGTATGACTCTTCATACCTCGTGCATTAAGTGATGACCACAAAATGTTTTAATTAGACTACCAATCGTCGGCTAGTGTTTCTGCTTCGAACGGGACCATGCCGAGCAAAATCGGTTTAGAATTATAAGTTTTATCACGTAAAATGTGTTTCGACATGATACACCTGTATCCATTTCTCAGCCAATCACAGCCTTTGGTGCTCGCCGTACAGCGGAGGTATGACTCTTCATACCTCGTGCATTAAGTGATGACCACAAAATGTTTTAATTAGACTACCAATCGTCGGCTAGTGTTTCTGCTTCGAACGGGACCATGCCGAGCAAAATCGGTTTAGAATTATAAGTTTTATCACGTAAAATGTGTTTCGACATGATACACCTGTATCCATTTCTCAGCCAATCACAGCCTTTGGTGCTCGCCGTGCAGCGGAGGTATGACTTTTCATACCTCGTGTATTAATTGATGACCACCAAATGTTTTAAATAGACTATCAATCATGGGCTAGCGTTCTTGCATTGATTAATTCTTTCAAAGGGAGAATCTGTTCAGAAATATCTGTTTTATCGACCGTAAATGTGTATTCCTACACCCATATCCAGTCAATAGGTGGGGACACTGCAATCGTTTTTTTAATTTTTTACGAAAACTAACGGCCACCAAACATTTTAATTATGATATTCGTTACCATCAAACGATTACGCATCGATTGAGCACCTGAAAAACTTAATTCGTTGACAAAAAAAAATTTCGGCTAACTTCAAGGTCAAATTTTGATTATTGATTATAAAAGAATGACTGACCACCAAATGTTTTTATTAGGCCACCAATGACCACGAAACGACCACCAATCGATTTGGTATGATAAAAAGTTAAAAAGTTAAAATTGCCCGGCTAACCTCACTGAGGTTAAGAAAGCATTGAGTTTCAACCCACTGCTGCCAATGCTAGTGTTTTGAACCACTGAACTCTAACCATACTGGAACCCGAACGGTAGTGGTGGGGGCCGCGCAGAGGGTATCTCTCTCTGCAAGGACACAGCATGAATAGCAAGGACACAGATGAACGTAGCAGCCTGCTCTATCACACACTGTACAGTCTCTGAAAAAGTTTAAGCTGGGATACGCCATAGATATAGAAAAGACATAGATGTAGCATAACCCTGCGGGGGGAAGCCGTCCAGGGAGGGGTGGCGAGGTACACTGAGCCTATTTGTGATTGGTTACTATTGGAAGCAAGCGCAGTGATGTATAAGTGCTACGTAAGCTTCGTCGCGGGTCTATCGTTCCAAGAGAACTCCCCCTCCTCATTTTGCCTCACGCCCCTTGCCTAAAATATCAGTTTACACTACATCTATGTCTTTTCTATATCTATGGGATAAGCATCGACATATAGTAATGGACTGCTCACTGTTGCCGCAGAAAGTGTAACCGGGAATAGAAAGAGAGAGCAAATCGTAAGGATCGTTCTTTCCTTTTCTATCATTTTTCTATTGGTCGAAAGTTTTCTGGACGGAAGGGGTTCAGGACTGTAATATACAAAATAAGAACCATGTGAAAGATTACTCCGCACATCTATAATGTACGTTGTTACAGTCGAATCTTGGAGACAGAAGCCTCGGTGAGTCAAATCCATCAGTCAAATTTCAATTGTCGTGATTGCTTTATGGTAGTTGAGTTTATAAAAATTCAATATTAAAAAATGATGATTCATTGTGTTATGTGTGGGCTATCGCGAGACGTATACTTTAAGCCAAATACGATAAACTTTTACAAGTAAGTACAGTAGAAATATAACCTTAAATTTTATGGTTAACATAAGATTAAATCAATTCTTAAACTTATAAAATATATAAATAAAGTTCATCATGAGACATACATTGTACTGCGTGGGGTTCCCTTATTCCTGATTCCGCTCCTGCCCAAGAGAAGGACAGAACGGTCCTTACAATTTGCTCTCTCTTTCTATTCCCGGTTATACATTCTGCGGCTACAGTGAGCAGTTCAGTACTATACATTACAATATTAATTAATTATTTCAGTAACCTAACTATTGAAATATTTCAAAAACCATATTGCTATGCGAACTGTCAGTTTGCGCTTATGGGAATCGGTCACACTCACATGTCATTTTTTGAAGAGGCCACACTGCCGTGTCGGCCACTTGCGGCTAACATCTGCTGGTGCGTTTCTACTGACTAACCCTGTATGTCGATGAGGATAAAGCAGTGCGCACGGGGAGGACCAGGATCTTGTATACAAGTCTGGACACTTCTCTATCCTCACCATGTTGTAGATCATAACCGTAAAGTGGACAATTTTGCCCGCAAGCGCTAGTGTCGAAGAAGCCAGCTGAAACAGCGCATGCATGCGCATTCATAAATTCACTGCAAGCTCTTATCACCTCTTATCTCCGATTCAAAACGAAAGTTACACACAAAAAACCGATGCGATGCTAATTAAATAAAATGTAACAATCTAAATTTAAAGTTAAACAAATAAAGAATTGATGATTTAAAAAACTGAAGTTAAATAGACCAATTCACCTAAAAGTCATGAAAATTGAATGATGCTATAATTGTGTATATACTGAGATCGATATATTTCTTGTCACACTAGACAACCTGAATATATATTCACCTGGCGCGGCCTAGGTCATTGGCTGCCAGGGCTCTAAAGTAATAAGTTTTAATATGTTGAACGCCAGTTTGTTTTAAGAACTAATAAACTTTCTTCAAAATAATTATGGGCTAACCGAGCCATGAGACGGTCACAAGGTGGGTAATTGGACGACCCAAGGAAAAGAGATTGCAAAGCCAAAGACACAGTGTTCGAAAAGAGAATATAGATTTATTAATTGGACTTACTTGCAACGTCGACAATCGTCGATTATAATATTCAATCCTTCAATATTATTTCCAGTCAATTCAGTATTTCAGTATTTCAATATATATATCCAATATTTCCAATTGTTCAATCCAATAATCCAATTATATCAGGTTCACAATAATTCAATTTCAATAGTTCCAAGTTCACACAAATTTCAATATAAATGAGACAGACAAATTACGATGGCGAGACTCCTCGAGGGCTGACTTCCTCGCTGTTCAATTGACGAAATAGAAGTAAGTTAGCATTAGGCGATGCCTATTTTACCTGCTCATTTGTTGCTTGACCACGTGGCCCGTTGCCGGCGCTCGGACTGGCAAATCAATATTCCGGCGCATGCGCATTCAGTCCTCCAGTGTCTTTGTCAAACTACCGGGCCAACCATAGGTTGTCTCTTTGTCGCTCTCGCGCGATACCTTATATGAGTAAGCAATAGACCCGCTAGTTCAACGATTATTATTGACATATAATAAATTAAATTGCAGGTAATATAAGTACCTTACGTTACCATAAATAACACAAATGACATAAATCCTATTTCGACAATTATACCTTACTCGTAAGTTTGTCCCTACGAGCGCTCGAGGAGTTTCAGGGGAGCGGTGACGTCGAGGGGAAAGATAAAATTATTTTCCTGTCACAATACTGAAAACTTTTAACTTGATGAAAATACCTATGGACAAGTACAAAAAATGAAATATCTACACAAGTAGAATTTTTTTCGTAGCTAAGTTCAATAGTATAAATATTTTTTCTCTTTTGCACTTGTTGAATTTATGGTGCATCACTATATGAAATTGGTTTTACAAGGTCCAACTCTCTTTGTAAAAAGACTTTTTCCGATTTGAGTGTAGGAATTTCCAATGAAAAATCTTTCACAGCAGATATACTAACGTATACAGTCAATTTTTGCTTGTGTCATAACTTTTCTACTGAATTTATTTGTAACCCCTGTGAGATTTCCAAAGGCAAATTCGTACCATTGTGATTCAAGCAGGCACGATGCACTTTCTGATCATTCTTGCTTCTTCCAATTCCAATCACGGTATATATTACACATTACGAACAAAGGTGCAGGTTACGTATTCAAGAAAAAGATAATTGCGCACGCGTAGTGCTACCAGGTGATTCGCTCTTTCAACACTAACGTCTCTTGCGGTAGATCTACCTTAAGGTTACGCGTTTTTCACCTAAGTGCCCAGACCTGTATACAAGATCGTGGGGAGGATTAAGCTAGCATAACATAATCTGAAATAGTGGCACATATATTTTATTTCGAAGACTGCTAAATATTTTATTGTGGATCTTATAAAGCTCTATATTTATATCATGGAGTCTAGATAGGATTTATATGTACTTGCAGAGATGAGTAGGGATATTGCGAATAGGCCTGTTTTTGGTGGCCTCAATTTTACTCTGGTTTCGGCGCGCCACCTTAGCGGAGAGCCCTTGAAGCAGTTCCACGTTTTTGATTGGTCGAGTATACAGGATGTCCCAAAATTACCTGACCAACGGGGTATGTCGGTGTTCGGGAGACACCACTGATCACGAAAATGACCTTCCTATTGTCCGAAAGGTCATAGTTTTTAAATGGGAGCAGCTCAAAGTTGACCAATCAGAGGGAGGCGTCAAGAGAAACGTAGGCACCTACGAACTCTGAGTTTTCTTCCCTCGCTTTTATTTCTCAGTAGCTTCGGGCAGGATGACGTCAGCCGAAGGCATGCCTATTGGAAGCAAGAAACAAGAAACAAGCTACCGAGAAACAAAAGCGAGGGAAGAAAACTCAGAGTTCGTAGGTGCCTACGTTTCTCTTGACGCCTCCCTCTGATTGGTCAACTTTGAGCTGCTCCCATTTAAAAACTATGACCTTTCGGACAATAGGAAGGTCATTTTCGTGATCAGTGGTGTCTCCCGAACACCGACATACCCCGTTGGTCAGGTAATTTTGGGACACCCTGTATATAGTAATACTACGCGTGAGAGAAAGGAAGGTCATTTTCAATCATTTCTTTCTTTATTGTTGAGCCTAGAAATTCACAAATTTTCACCAATATCATCGGAGAACACCGCCATACCCCGTTGGTCAGGTAATTTTGGGACACCCTGTATATAGTAATACTACGCGTGAGAATCTGGAGCCGTGTTTTGGCGCGTCGACGCGTCACCTGAACGAGACTCTCGAACTAGTTCCACGTTTTTGATTAGTCCAATGAATTCGTGTGTTCCTCGAGATCCACGATTTTAAACCGGGTGAACACTCAAATAGGGAAACTTGTATCCACCCTTTCTTACTGCATATTACATAAACCTTAGTAATGAGGTAGTCAATTCTGCCGATGTTAATTCCCTTAATATCCATATAAAGCTTTGTAAATAATAGAGTGAGCAAATAAAACTTTAAACAAAACCCTCGAACGTAGGTAACTACAGAAATATAAATTTTCCAATTTGTATAGCACAATGGCTCGGTAGCACACGTGCTTGGTGCTGGATTAACGTTCGAGAGAATATTGTATTATATTCCATCGTATACATGCAATAAATTGGTATATGAATCAGCGAACGTTTCTTCTTCCCGAGAGCCTACCTGTGACAAACACCTATGGTACGCTGTTTCATGTTTTAATAGCACAAATAATATTCAGACGGATAAAAAAGGCATTACGAAAAATTACCAAAAACAAAAATGCACTTATAAATCTCGGGCATAAAATGATCAACATATAAAAATGAACCAATTCTATAGTGACATGAAACAAATAATGTATCTGGTTAGGGATTTTTTTTTCATTTAATTTTTATCATTCAAGGCTATGTAAAGACAATATTTTTAATACATCGAATTATCAGAAAATTATGTCGAG